AAGACTATTGTGTAGACCTAATCTATAGACGGCGAGCCGACCCTTATATATGTGTTATTTCCAACTAAATCTTCATTCCGTTGCTGACCGCCGAACAGAGATGACTAGCAGTTATATGAAACACAGACCATTTGTAGAGCTCTTATGTACTTCTCATCCAACTCAACAGCAAGCTCTTCTTAATTCTACATCAGCTGAGCAAATTCGATGCTTGTGTCATTGTATAGAAAATTTCACATACTCTAAAGAAAAAAAAGACAAACTCAGACTTTTCAAACAAGATCTAGCTGATTTAGCGGACAGAAATAGAGGTTTTAGAACGAAAAAGGAAATTCTTGTTCAGCGGGGAAGTGGCTTTCTGGGATTGGTACTTGGACCACTTTTAGAAGGCCTTGCAGAATTAGTACAAAATAAAAAGCATGAAGTGCATCTCCTCATTCCAATCATGGATAGCGACAAACGATCATCTCCTGAACAGTGGAGACTTGAAGACATTCTCAAATATCTTGACGTTGATGATGGGCGCGAAGCCGAAGAAATCCTTCATTCTATTTTAACCTCTACGGGGATTTTGACTGGGAATGGAAAAGGAGAAATCGTTTACAGAGGACATATTATACGAGGAACTGACATTGTAGACCTTCTGAAATATTGCGTGACGCCTTATCATCCAGATATTCCCGAACCAACTGGATTGAGCATTTTTATGAAAGGTCTGGCTGAATTGGTAATTGATAAAAGCCTAATCTTAAATGGACATGTCCCTTCTGTGTTAGCCCACAAGTGGTCCCGTCAGGATACACAATCTGATGCTGACGCAACTTATAACAGTTGTAACAAAGATATATACATCTCCCATTTGAGTACGTGCCCCGTATGCACATGGACAGATTTTTATCCGAATTGTAAATGCTGTCGCTGTATGATCTGTGATTTTCAAGTGTCCAAGGGAGATTTCACGCATGTAATCGCCAGCTGTCCACATTGTCGCCGAGGTGAAATAATAGATATCAGAACGGATGAAAGGCAGTCTTTTAACCATAAAATAGGCGACCAAAGTGATATTTGATCAGTTGACTGCGTGAAGTTCAACTGAACACATCAACATGCCGAGAGGTACACTTGTTGTAGACGAAAAAGTACTGAGAGACCATTTCTTGAGACAACAACGTGGCGGAAACATCGCTGGGTATCGCGGTGCACGTTTTCAAAGAGGTTATGGGATCGGAGGTATTTTCAAGAGCCTTGCGAGATATGCTATCCCTCTATCCAAACAAGGTGCTAAAGTTGTTGGCAAAAGAGCATTACAAGCAGCCACAGAAGTTGGTCAGGATGTACTCCAAGGGAAAAATGTTAGAGAATCTGTAAAGACTCACGGAGGTGACGTTGTTAAAGACTTTGCAGAACAAGGAGCAAAAGCCCTACTACACCAAGCAGGGCGCGGAAGTAAGAGAAAGCAAGGCCAACGCAGTAATTTATCAACTACAAAGAAATTAAAACTGTGTTCTCATATGGCAGTCCCAAGACATACCAAATGGATTACGGAAGATGAAAGCAGCTACGATGACGAATCTGATAGCGAAACGTCTCAAACAAGTGACAATATATATTAGAAGCATAACTTTGTAAAACGTTCTGAAGAAATAAATGTATTTTAAAACTGAAATATTGTGCAAACATTTACCTGCAAATCCCGCTCTGTCCGCCCGCACGACCCGCCCGACCGATTAGTGTACAAATATGTTGTACTTTAATATATGCATGCACCCGCAAAGCCACGCGCCTGATTTTAAGGTATACACCTGCGTTAAAAATAATCCCTATCTATCCATCGGGATACACTTAGTTATGCAAATTCGTATTACCTTAATCCCCTTAATTACCTACACGCCTCCTAATAACTTAGCAACGCATAACAACGCAAATTTGCAAAGTTTGAAACATGTTTATTGATACAAATAACAGACGATAGTGTCAAAAAATATTACAACTGTTCTAATTCTAACTTCTATTCTTGATAAGCTTTCTTGTGATCTGACTCGGTCATCTTAACAATATATATATGTATGTAGGAGGATTGCTAAATAATCTTGAACAACATACAAATATTGACCATAGCAACGACGTTGACGACCATGTTAACTTAGCAACTGTTTAGTTCTGTTTAAATATGTCTCGATTTTTGTGACAAATAGATTCCTCGCTATGTAACATACGAAAAATCCTTCAATATACCTGTGGAAATTTATCTCTTCCTAGCAAAGCTACGGCTATAACTCTGCTATATATTAATTTCGATAACAATTTTACCATGCGAGGGACAACCAATCATAGTAAGCCAAGATTAATCCCTCTATTGTATCACACACGTGGAGGGACGCTAAAAAATGCCTAGTCAGCGAGTTTCAGCCGATCTTGTTTAAGCTCGTCCGCGTGACGTCATTACTCCTCACTCCTCCTCCTCACTCCTCCTCCTCCTCACTCCTCCTCCTCCTCCTCCTCCTCACTCCTCCTCCTCCTCACTCCACCACACTCCTCCTCACTCCTCCTGATTTCGACCGTGTGACGTCATGCACATAATTATGACGTATGTTAATGATGATGCGCCGCCCTGAATTTTTAATGATGCGCCGCCCCTGCGCCGCCCTGAAAATAAGGCCCGAGCGGTCCCTATATTACTACTAATTTAACAACATTACGATGAGAAAAATAGCTTTTCGCAAAGTATAGACGTTCTCAATCACATCTGAAGTATTTTTAATCTTTCCTGGTTGTCTTGACTAGCGCAGCTTACAGTGTTTGGAAATGTTATTAGGCTATTGTCCAGTTATGCCAAAATAACACACAATACTATTTATTACAATGTGCATCTCCTAAAGAGCTCAGTCACGACAGAACTGTTTGTGATTTCTAAACAGAGTTGAGGCGTAAACGATACAAGGTACTCAAAACGGGATTCTTACCTACTCTTCCGTTTTTTGTAGGCAATACAAAAATGTCGCTTGAATTGACACGTCCAATTAAATTGTTAACAAACTAAAAAGTAATACATCAAAATAAGTATAAAAATAAGAATAGATAACAACAGCAGCAACAACAACAGCAACAGCGGCAGCAACACAGTAGCAGTAATACTGCAAGATCTGTTTCAGTTAATTCAATTTTTGTGGTGATTTGGGGTCCCAAACAGCAACTGCAAAATTGTTGGCTTGGTCAATGTTGTTATTTTTTTAAATCAACCTAATGGAAGCACTCGTATCTTTTCTTGCAGAAAACATGCGCAATTTCCCACCTGCTGTTTATGTCTAAACTAATATCCTGCTGTTTATGAATACTTGTTTTGATCTACTGACATAATTCTTGAAACTTTGGCAGGCAACTTGTTGTATATACCATATTATATCTTCGTTTATATTCCTATATTTTTAATATTCTAATATTGCAAAACGTATTTTGATACGCTTCAATCAAACTATAATTCCTATTGTGTCGAAAAACATGTATATAGCTAGTTAAATAAGTTAATACATACAATTGTTATGAAGTTAGTGTCAAAGTTCAATTTTTCTGTTTCCGATTGGACAAAAGCCAGTCACGTGCAGGTCCCAAAACGTTATGTTTACTGCATTGCCCTGGGAACGAGGCAACCAGTCCATGGTCGAACATTTAATGACCGGTCAACAATAAAATGGGTGCAGTGCGCATGCGCGTCAACCGTGAAGTTCCAAAGTTCATTTTTTATTAAAAAATTTCGGCGTTCCATTTATCTAGTTTTGGTTTCAAATTCACTCCAATAGCCAGTGAATTATTCATACTTTGACACTTATATACTATATCTTCTTTTCTCTTCGACCCCCTTTGTTGCCCTCGGCTCCACAACACACACTGTTTCCCTCGTTCTCAGTAAATAAGTGATAATTATATTATACCTGCACACCAGTCACTTATGCTATAAAATACGATCTTTTATCATTATAATATCCCATATATATTTCATTTGCTATAGTTATTACAATGATGAATGTAAAACTTCAATAAATTACTGAATGAGCAACATGAAATTGCTTCATGTTGACTTTCGATGTGAAAGCTTGACTGTGTTTTATATTAAACAAGACGCTCGAAATTAAAGAGCGTTAACTCGCTGCGGCTATAGTGATACGCTTGTTAATAACTACAATCACTGATGTGCTCAAGTTAAAACCTTGAAATAAACTATTGTCGGAACAAAATACTATCAAAATTAAGAAAAAAGTAGGACGAACCCAGTGATATACGACTGTAAAAGAGAAAACCAACGATACGAAAGTTATCAAGTATCAAACGTACTGCATTTTTAATTAGTTAAATAATTATTTTGAGCGATTTTTCAACAATGCAATTCCAGTTGTCTTTCAAAGGCTACAAATCGCTAGAATACTGCTGTTTAGTAATGAATTTGGCATCTGTAAATACAATTTTGTACGCTGATTCAAAACGATGGTATTTTTGCCCTTGTTGAGACACTTGGGCAGTGGCGTAACTACTATGGGCCCAGACCGGGAAACCCCGGGGACCCCAAGCGTGGGGCCCCCCTGCTAGAATGTAGAAGAGTAAAAGAAGCGAAATTTAAGAAAAACTTTACACAACAAAATAATAAAACAGATTGAAACTGTCGTAGATTTGACAAATGAGGAAATTTTGATTCACGAAAACACTTAAAATTTTAAGTATTTAGTGGAAACACCGATCAACATTTCTTTAAAATGGAGCAACTAGGAAAGTTGAAACATACATAATTTCATGCATTTTCTTTAATAAAAACAATAAACAGGTAAGATTTTGAATATTTCGAAAACTGAATATATACATATGGCAAAGACAGGTATTTTATAAAGATTAAAGTACAGCGAAAGTGCAGTATTAAAAGTAGAATTGTTTATATTAACTCCATAAATATTTAAGATCAATTTCAATAACGTTTATTGTTTTGCTTCAGTCTTTACTTATAATCTTAAAAGATGGAAAAATCGAAGGAGCTTTCGGGGGCTCAAAAACGTAAACAGAGAAAGATTCTTTGGGAAAAACGAGAAAGTGAAAATTCAAAGATTCGAAAAATAACCAGTTTGTTTGATCGTGTAAGTACATCTGCAACTGCTAGCAATGAAGCCAACACCAAAGGACAGATGGATACAGGAGACAACGATATAGGTCTAGTTGTTTCTGAAACTGAGATTGAATCCCAAGAATGTACTGAATGTTCCAGTGGCTCCATACGTCAGGATTAGTGAACTTTTTTATTCATTATATATTGCCTTTTAAAATTGACATAGCAAAGTAATAAGTTATAATTGCTTGAATTAAGACCTGAAATGTTTGTTAGATTTTATGGAAATATGTTTGTACTAATTTCCAGGAAATTTTAAAAGTGTGAAATTAAGTGAGACAGCAGAAAGTCCAGATAGTGATGATCACATTGGACATACGATGAGCAAATCATTAGATGAATCTGAATTGAGTACTAATATACCAGTAGCCGGTATTGTGAAAATAATTATATCTTGTAGAATAGCACATAGGGTAGGCCTATGACTTAATCTGATCATACTGTACACATGCCAGTTATTCCAGAGTAGATCATATAATAATTGTGTTTCTATGAGGCATTTTTGTACGTGTCAAATGTAAATAAATAGCTTCTCCTGTGTAATAAAATGTTACTTTCAGATCTCAGAAAATGCTCAGAACTGGAAGATTTTGATCCCTGTGCTACCTGCCCATCAGATCGTGGAGACAACGATATGGGTCTAGTTATTTCTGAAACTGAGATTGAATCCCAAGAATGTACTGAATGTTCCAGTGGTTCCATACGTCGGGGTTAGTGAACTTTTTTATTCATTAATATTGCCTTTTAAAATTGACATAGCAAAGTAATAAGTTATAATTGCTTGAATTAAGACCTGAAATGTTTGTTTGATTTTATGGAAATATGTTTGTACTAATTTCCAGGAAATTTTAAAAGTGTGAAATTAAGTGAGACAGCAGAAAGTCCAGATAGTGATAATAATAATAATAATAATAATAAACATTTATATAGCGCACAAACCAAGACTGTTCTAGGCGCTTTACAGTAATACAAAATCCAATCTTAAAAACTAGTGTTAAGAATGTTAAAACTATAGAATACATCATACACTATTTAAAAACAAGTTAAAAAGATATGTTTTAAGAAACTTCTTAAAAATGGTTAATGATTCACACATCCGAAGATGAACAGGTAAATCATTCCACAATCTTGGTCCAGCAACACAGAACGATCTGTCTCCGTATGTCTTTAGTCTAGAATAAGGGATCTGGAGCAATTCATTTCCATTTGATCGAAGAGTACGCTGCGAAGTACGACACAGCATAAGTTCCTTCAGATACGATGGAGCAAGATCATTAACAGCTTTGTAGACAAGAAGTATAATCTTGAATTGAATACGGTATTGGACAGGTAACCAATGCAATTCGATAACAACAAGCTTCTGAAGCAAATATTTGGGTACACCATACAACAGGGAGTTACAATAATCCAGTCTTGAAGTTATAAATGCATGAATAATTATTTCTAAGCAATTTCGAGGTAGATACTTCTTAATTCTTGAAATATTCCTAATATGGTAGTAAGCTGACTTGCAGATACCATTAATATGTTCGCCCAATCTGATCCACTCATCAAAAATCACCACCAGATTTCTTGCTGAAACAGTTGGCACAATTTTTTCCTTTCCCACCATGATATAATTTAAGGGAGGCATCAGATGATAGCGTGAATGGACTAATATAAGCTCCGTTTTGCCACTATTTAGTTTCAATTTATTCAACATCAACCAGTTTCCCAATTCAAGTATACATTTCTCCATACGGATCTTAGATGATATTAAATCATCACGATCATTCGTTTTGAATGCAATGTAAAGTTGCCCATCATCAGAAAAAAAGTGAAAGCGCAGATTGTGGCGCCTAGCCACATCCGCGAGAGGGGCAGTGTAGAGTGAATACAACAGAGGACCCAACACAGATCCCTGAGGTACACCACAATCAAGATCACTCAATAACGAATCAGTTCCCTCAACACGAATAAACAGTTTCCTGGATGTAAGGTACGAGGTAAGCCAATCCAACACACGACCCCTTATGCCAAAGCGTTTCGATAGTCTTGTTAATAACATTAAATGATCCACGGTGTCAAAAGCCGCCGACAGATCCAGTAGGACAAGAATAACAGAATCACCGTTATCTAGAGCTTGAAGGATATCATTTTGAACCCTCAATAGCGCTGTTTCAGTACTATGACAAGGTTTATAAGCAGACTGGAATTTCTCATGTAGATGATTTTCAGTAAGATAATCAGTTAATTGTACAGCAACTGCTTTCTCAATAGATTTCGAGACAAATTTCAGATTTGATATTGGACGAAAACTGCAGAATTCTTCATAGGAAAGATTGTACTTTTTTAATAGCGGTTGAACAACAGCAATCTTCAAAGAGTCAGGCATTGTACCACTTTCCAAGGAGAGGTTGATTATTCTAACTACAACGGGTAAGATGTCTTTAAAACAGTGATTTAGCATGACCACCGAGAGTGGATCCAGAGAACAGGATTTAGTTGCGATACGTTGGATTAAATGGAGCACTTCGTCTTTTCCAACCTCCCTGAAGGTGTGAAATTCATAAGGACATGAATCAACATCAGGTATAGGATTTTCTATGTTTTTACTCAAGAGTTCATCTTCGATATCACCTCGTATTTTAACAATTTTCTGAGTGAAGAAATCACTAAATGAGTTGGCAAGTGACATTGGGTCAGGAGAAGATGGATAGCGAATAATCGTATTTGTATGCAGCAAATTGCTTACAGTCTTGAAAAGGGTTTTTTGATCAGATGATCCATTATTAATTAAGTCGGTATAGTAAGCCGATTTTGAGGAGTCGATAAGTTTATTTACAGCATAACATTGTTGTTTATAGCGATTCCAATCAGCATTCGTCCTTGTTTTATGCCATTTTCTCTCAAGTTGTCTCCGAATTCGTTTCTTATCATTGATTTCGTTAGTATACCAGGGTGCCTTAGGGCGCAATGTAATTTCCCGGGTTTTAATCGGTGCATGGTTATCTAAGATAGTATGAAGACAATCATACTCATTCACCAATGATACCAAATCCATAGTCGTAAAATTCTTAAGAAGAAAAGAATTTAGTACATCCGTTTTGAATTTATGAATATTAACCGCCCGCAAATTACGAAGAAGCAAATGTTTCTTCACAAACTTCGGTTTCCTAATCAATAGTTGTAAATGCACAACTGAATGATCAGAAATCAGAGGATCGAAGATATTGTAATGGTTAACAATGTTTTCTTCAGATCGCGTTATAATTAAATCCAGTGTGTGACCACTTGCATGTGTTGATCCAGAAATGTACTGCTTCAAATCAAAGGAAGCGAGAAGATCCACGAACCGTTTGGTAAGAGGGTCATTAGGATTGTCCAGATGAAAATTGAAATCTCCAGCTATCAAGAGTTGCCCGGGTGATACAATAGTTCCTTCCAAAAAGGATGAGAACTCTTCAAAGAATAGAGTAGATGTCAATGAGTTAGCCGATGAAGGAGGCGGCCGATATACAACAATAATTCTAATATGTAGAAAGTTCAAAAAAGAACTGTCAAGGTATTCAAATGACCTAAATACCTCCTGTACATTACGCTTATGATCACATTGGCCATACGATGAGCAAATCATTAGATGAATCTGAATTGAGTACTAATATACCAGTAGCCGGTATTGTGAAAATAATTATATCTTGTAGAATAGCACATAGGGTAGGCCTATGACTTAATCTGGTCATACTGTACACATGCCAGTTATTCCAGAGTAGATCATATAATAATTGTGTTTCTATGAGGCATTTTTGTATGTGTCAAATGTAAATAAATAGCTTCTCCTGTGTAATAAAATGTTACTTTCAGATCTCAGAAAATGCTCAGAACTGGAAGATTTTGATCCCTGTGCTGCCTACCCATCAGATCGTGGACATTTCAGAGAGAGGTTATCTGATGATTTGGTTGAAGTTCTGGTCAAGGCTGGCAGCTGCCAACCAAACACAATCATAAATACCCAGGGTGGACGAAAGTTTAATCCTGCACTGTACTACTACAGGCAAGTATACAATGTGTGTTAATTTGTATTTCAATGTGCGCATTGTTAGTGTTAATCATTGATTAAAAATTCTTTGGGAAATTTTTATTATAAATATATTTTGAAAGGAATGTATAAGTAAAAAGTTTTATACCTTTCTGTGTAGGGATTTGAAGTTGTTTTCAGTGAAAAGGAATTGGTTCAGCTGCTCTGAGAAATTGGGCATTGTATACTGTCACAATTGTTGGTTGTTAGCAAAGGATACATCAAGGAACAAAGATACTCCATGGATAGATGGTTTTCTTCCCAACACTAATCACCTGAAGCAGCAAATTGAAACACATGAAGAAAGCATGACGCATAAAGAAGGTACGAAGCACTATGCCCAGATCAAAGCAGGCAAGGGAGTCAGCAAGCTTAATGAAGCTGGAATTGCAAAAGCCAAGAATTTCTGGCGTGAGGTTTTACACAGAATAATAGTGATCATATTGACTTTAGCCAGTCTGTCTCTGCCTTTACGGGGACACAGGGAATTTGTCGAAAACGGAAATTGGTTTGGTTAACATGCAGTTGAAAGTAGGTGATGGTTATCCTTACTTTCGAGAGCTTGTTGAGTCTAAATCTCACAAATGTAGATATTTATCTCCGAGTATCCAAAACGAAATAATTGAAATTCTTAGTAATGCCACTCGACTCAAACTCGTTGATAAAATAAAAACTGCCCCCTGTTATACTCTTATTTTTGACACTAGAAGCGATATCTGCCGGGTTGACCAAATCTCAATTGTGGTAAGATGGGTAGACGTTGAAGCAGCAGAAGCTGTTGAGACGTTTTTGGGGTTCCTTCCTGCCAAACAAGGAGGAACTGCCAAAGCGCTAACAGACACTGTTCTCGACTATTTGCGACATATAACTTTGGATCCCAAACGAATAAGGGGCCAGGGATATGACGGAGCAAGTGTAATGAGTGGAAGCAAAGGAGGTGTCAACATACTGATCTCAAATTACCTTAAAAGTGAAGGAGTAACATCACCCACTCCGTTTGTTCACTGTACTAGCCATAACCTAAACCTTGTTTTAAATGATGCTGTTGAATGCAATGCTGATAGCATCAACTTTTTTCTGATCTTGAAGAAATTTATAACTTTTTTAACAAAAGCATCAATCGAACAGCGGAGCTTAACTGCACTACAAGTGTTGATAACTCTGCTGAACTCAACGTGATCAATGAATTCATGGACAGTGTGGTGTCTGACAGTGACAGTGACAGTGACAATTCTGACGAGACTAGCATTAATTCCGGCTCAATCACCCCCAAAAGGAACAGGAGGAATGGTAAAAATAAGTTGACACTGAAGAAACTGTGTGCCACCAGATGGTCGTCAAGAATTAACTCTGTAAGAGCAGTAAAGAATCGATATGGTGATTTGCTCCATATGTTGAACAAATTGAAAGAAAAGAAAGGAAAAGATAATGCCAAAGAGCGGGACGAAGCAGGAAATTTGCACCGCAAAATGAACAGATTTGAATTCGTGATCATGCTCATTATATGGGAAAAGTTACTGACAGCAATTCAGATCGCCTCAGCTGACTTACAGTCAATGAAACTGGACTTATGTAAAGCAGCTAAAGAATTAGAGAGGGCCCTGTGTAAAGTAAAAGGCATGCGAGACAAGTGGAATACGATCAAAATGGAAGCTGTGAAATTTGCGTTGAAAGTCGGCGTCTCGTTTACTTTTACATTTAAGAGAGTAGGCCGTGTTTCTCGATTCTTTGATGAATTTGCGTCAGACACCAGACCACAGGACCCTGAAGAAAGATTTACTGTCGAGATGTTTTACCGAGTGATCGACACTGCAACCACTCAATTAGAAGAACGCTTCAAGAGCCAGAACTTTGTTGCCAACGCCTTCAAGTTCGTACTTCCTGGAAGTCTTGCATCTTTAGACATCACAGAGATGCGCAAGTCTGTTAACGTATTTGTTAACGAATATAAAGGAGACATATGCAAAGATGGCGTTGAAGTAGTAGATTACACAGCTGATCTTATGGGTGAAATTGAATCGTTTCGCTGGTGTTTCGGAAATCAATTGAAGCGTATGTCAAGTGTTTCCGAGGTACTCGCCCTGTTAAAAGACGTGGACGTGAGTACCTACTCTAAGTTATTATCAGCTGTTGTCATATTTGTCACTCTCCCGGTCACAGTTGCGAACGCAGAGCGATCATTCTCAAAGTTCAAACTTATAAAGAATTATCTGCGTTCAAGTATTTCTCAAGATCGTATGGATTCATTGGCCATCCTTTCTATTGAGAACAAAGAAGCGTGGTCTTTGAATATGGAGAAACTAATTGATAAATTCGCTGAGAAAAAAAGCAAGAATCAGCAAATTCAAAGTTTGAACTATTGTGAATTGATCTATCCTCAGCTTAGACTATTCGGACAATTGAATTTTTGTTCAGTTTTAAAGACTGTTAGGTTGATAGAATGATAGCATTTAAATCAGTCAGTTTTTACTGAGTAACTACATGTAACCTGCATTTCTTTTGTAACATCTTCATCTTGCTTAGTTCCTGCGTGGAGGAAAACATTTTAATTCTCACACAAAATTCAAAATTCCAAGACTTAAAACCGTAGTTAAACCGTAGATTAAAAAAGAAGTTTTGAGGGCGTAACTGATGGCTTCTTTTATAGTGTAGTTTATGTGGAGGGGGGCCCCTTATCGTTTTTTACCCCGGGGCCCCCCAGATGTAACGTTACGCCACTGCACTTGGGTGCATAAAACAAACAAACTGCTACCCCAAAAAACCGTTTGCCATGGGGACAGGGGACAATTAACTCTTTAAAGCGACATTTTAACCCTAGCGTACGGAACAACTACCGGGAGCAATGTAGCATACTATAAAATATAAAATTACTTGTGCATAGTTATGACTTGTAGCACAGGCTGCACTGAGCATGTAGGCGCAAACACCGGATAGTTTTATTTGCAAAGCACCGCATTTTATTACTGTGTCTGGTCTTTACTCTGTTCTTATAAAAGCATAGTTATGAATCCCTCTCAATCCGCAGTTTTCTGGTGTTATTCTCACAACCTATGCTGGCACAGACTGTTCGGGCTTATAACTTTATATCGAGTGCATATTTCATACAATTGTTCCTGCGCATCGCTGTCTTTGTATTTCTGTCTTTGTCGGGCTTTGTCATACTAGTTAAAATAAACAGCAACTTTGGCTTTTTTACTTAAATTTTGTCAAAACGTAGGCTTATTTATGGATAATTTGGGTAAAAATTGATAGCTCATTAATATTCTATTTGGTGGCTATCGATCCACTATCGGAGAAAAATGCGTGCCGAAACTTACACTCGCCTTGGCACAGTGCCCCAGCGAGTGAATATCTGTAAGCAATATTATTATGCTAATTTTTCTGAGATCTTTAACAATTATATAAGATATAGGAAATCTAGACAGCTGACTCATACTTACAGTATGGGAGGCCTCGCGCAGTCACGAAATATGATTGGTTAGGAGGTTAGGGATAGGGATTGGATTATAGGTTTCGTGATTGCGTGACTTGGAAAGAGTAACCCGTCACCTGTATGATCAACCCAAGATGGCGGCTCAACAGGGCAAAATAAACAATAGCTAATATTACAAAATTAAGGGTTTTTTTTTAACTTTTTTGATGTTTTCGCTACATCGAATCAGATTTTAATGCCAAGAACTATCCATTGCGAATCTTTTGGATGCAAAATGCACATGTTCTTGTCCACTAATATGAAAATATCGGTCGCTGAAGGTTGTATGAATTTGGTCAGTTCGAGTGATTTGTTACCGAAAATATTTGGTTTAAGTTAATCTTTTTAAAGCGATGGAAAGAAATCTGGATATGAAAATCTATTAACCGCTTGATCATGGAAGTATAAATCTCGATGCTTCAGTGGCCGAATTGACCTGCTCGCCTGTACTGTATAATTATTTAAAATACTGATTAACAATTTATAAACCTTGTGGCAAATCATGTCAGCCATAATATGCAACGTGGAGTGACTTTATATCTGATAAAACACATGTGGCATTATATAATTGTTCACCTTAATTAGCATGATTATACTATGGTTCATCCTAATTAGTATTCTTTTGTAGTCGTATTTTAAGCTATTCAAAACACTCGTTGTCGTGTTTTATCAGAAATATAACGCTCGGCTGCGCCTCGCGTTATATATCTGATAAAACACTCCTACTCGTGTTTTAAATAGTACATAAAATATCGCAAATTTCCTGTTGCTGCAAGGATCTGAACGACTTGGTTGTTGACATAAAATATCAAGATGATGTGATACCAACAATTTACAGGGATAGCTTAAGTAACAACTTTAACAACTAATGGACAAAGGGCCACAAAGGGTAGACAATTTCTTATAGCCCTTGAAAGTGATTGAGTTTCATGGTGATTTAGTTTGCTGTATGGGTCCCCGAGTAATCACTGAATACATATGCTAACAAAACACACCATAAAAGAATGGAAGAATTCGCCATCAGAATATATGCCATCAGATACTTGCAGTACTTGGTACAGTAAACTGTAATGTACCCTAACCATGATCTGGTAAGGTTTCCCTATATATGTATACCAATGGCATGCAAGTATGAAGTTCACCTGCTTAACATGACATACTAGGGTCTCAGTGTTATAACAACATTTGTAGCCATGGGCTTCCTTTGGACTGAAAAATATGTAGACTTATATTACTATAAGTATAAAAGAAATTATAAGAGACACACAACTGAACCAGTAAAATGTCGAAAGTTTAGCCTGTGTAATTTAAGTAGAAGTATAAGAAAAGGGGAAAATGTAATTCATGGTCTATTATTTCAAAGGAAGTATTTTAAAAAATTTACATCTTGGTGTAGCCCCCTACCCATTGCTATTTTAAATTGGCAGGACTAGGTAGTTCATGCATCTTGTTTATTTTCTCTGATCAATGATATATAATTCAGTTACTTTTTTAGGAACAGTTATGTGAGCTAAAATAATTAGAGTAATATTCCTTATAGACTCAAGTCTCAGGACTTTCGCCAAAAGCCGATAAAGGTATTAAAATATGTAACACAGTAACAGTAAGGAAGAATTTTATTTCAGATTGTAAGACCATATTGGTATTATAGACTTATACCGGTACTGGTATACAAAGATATTCTGGAAATGTGATTCCTCTCTGTAAATATTCATAAATCTTTATTTCGTTTTGTCTTTAGCTTACTTGGTTTTGGTCGAGCAAACAACGTTGATGACTCGGCCTTTATCTGAATTAACAAATCTTAAAATACGAAAACCTTGTCCCTTCGTAAACGTGTTCTTTTTCTTGTGCTCATTCGCGCCCCAACGACAACGTAGGAACGTTTCCGACCTGTACGCGCACGCGTGTGTCCACGCAACACGAGCACTAACATGACTACCTTAAATTCAAAATTAAAATTTACTAAATGTAAACAACAACATGAACTTAGCGTTTATCAGTAACATTAGTCACGAGGTTCTTCGGTGGGGATTCCCGGTCTTTCTCGTTGGATCAACAATATCAACTTGTGGACAGGACGTTCCAGGATAACGAGAAGCTTTTCTCTTCTTTATTGCTTCGTGATTCTTCGCTCACCGAGCATTATCTTCACCTATCTTCACTGCTAGCTTCACTAGCCATCTTCGTCTTTCTTAGCATTCACTACGCGAGCTAATGATTGACTGATCTACTCATTGGCGTGTGTGTGAACAGGACCGCTTTGAAATCTCATGTAATTCCGTAGTGACGTAGACTGATGACGTAGTAGAATTAAAAATTAAACGAGACTTATCTGGTAAGTTGAAGTTTGATTGAAATTCTACAAGTCATCAGTCAGGAACGGAGGAATTACATGCCTTGGATCAGGCAAGCTGATTCCCTCCCGTCCCAATTCCTCCGTTCCATGCTCCTGAAGACACACGATTACGTTGAATATTGCCTAGATAGCTCGCGCGCGCTCTCTCGTGTAATTCCTCCGTTCCTGACTGATGACTTGTAAAATTCCAAGCAAACTTCAACTTACCAAGCAAGTCTCATTTAATTTTTAATTTTCCTTTACTTACAGTAAAAATATAAATATTGCATCGCCTGGAATGATTGGTAATATGAATAAAAATTTCGGTTACCTACAGTACTTGCAGTGTAACATATATCTAATAATTTTTCCTCCATCGCAACACTAACATATCTGCCTTTCTAACCATAAATGTGAAACAATTAGCATGCATGTAAAATTCCCACATTCAGACAATCTTGGACGTAAGTGGTTGAGACTATTTTCCCCCTATAGAAAATTCGCATATTTGAGCTTGTGTCGTGGCATATTATCAAAAGTTGTTTCGGCGTTGTTCACAACATTGAACTGGGGGGGGGGAGGGGGATACCAAGTTTGTTTTGTCAATGTTCAATAACTTTGTAATATTGGCTGGAATGGTCTCATGGGTTTTGTCCAAGATTGTAGCTTGTATGAAGCTATTATTTTTTTTCTCCGACTGCAGGCACCTCAGTAATCATTGGAGTTCAGTGTTCTCTGACTCAGTCTTTTTCTTTCTTGCACTCGTTAATTTCCTAACAACATATCCAGCAATATAGGAAAGAAGTCCCATTTCACATGCTTCAATCTTTTCACATTCTTTTGTAGTGTTCTCTGTGGTGTGACTGAAGCATCACCTCTTCCACTTATATTATAGTTTGTCTTGATTCTAAATTGTTTTTACAAAATTTTGAGTACCTCGTTGAAGAGTGCTTCTGTCGCAGTAACATTTTTGATAGAGGATTCTATTTCGTCTACATACAATTTTTCGTCGATAATGTTTTGTTTTATTGTGTTAACGATCGAGTTCATTGATCGAGCGGTGTTGTATTGCTACCCTCAGTGGTGCCAGAAACATCGTCGACATGTTTTGAATTTTTGTGCTTTGTCAAACCGCCTTTCGATTTACAAATCTTGTTACACATATTGCAAGGATAAACCATAAGACCATCAATCTCGTTCAACGCGTCTGTAAATTCATTTTCCACCGATAGGTCATCATTTTCAACAATATCAATCGCAATATGCTTGACGATGGCCCAGACGGCTTTACACTCGACGTTATTTCTTCCATTTCTTCCAAAACTCCCTCAGAAGTTTCCTCTACTTCAATTTCAGCTGTATCGTCCTTTAAAAACAATTTTTTATAAGATTTTTGTTAGACACATTAATAATCTTAAGTACTTCGCTCGAGGGCATGCACACTATTTGACACGTGTCTTTCAGTCCCTTTGTATCGCAACATATTTGCTGCAGCCCTTTGAAGTTTACCGGCTTTCCAAACCATCTTATTTCTATTAAATGTGTCGGAATACAAACACCCAGTGGTCTTTCCTTTAAGGTTATGCGAAACCGAAAGGAGTCACTTTCGATGTGCCACTCCTAGCACTCGTTCGATCCGAAGTATATCGTGACTCAGATCGAGTTCTTTGACTTCAGTAGCACGGTAGTCAACGGGAATGGACTCGATCACTTCTCGCTCGTTTTCAGTAAACTTGTGCAGGGGAAATTCCCCTTTCTGGCACATTTCAACGACGCTGCATTTTAACCCATCGTCAAGATAAGAACTGTTTTCGACAAATGCGACGGCTTCTGCTCCAAACTCTTCTTCACCAGCTTTGGCCGTGGTTTTCAACGCTAGATTGTAACATCCGGGTGATGACGTTGCTCTAAATTGGTGGACTCGCATTCTTTAGTCTTCAGGCTCTTTCGATGTATCTCCGTCCGGCCACCACAAGAATCTCAAGTAATCGCGATGCTCTTCATTCACATGTACCTGACAGAACACGGATTCGATGTCACATGTAAACACGATTCTTTCTTGCGGAATCGACAAAGTACACCATGAACGAGTTCGTTAGGTCAGGTCCTTGTAAAAGATGAGAAGTCAAATACGATCCTGATCTTATTGGATTTGTGTGGGTGGTACACTCCATGAAGTATATACCACGGTTTTCCGTCGGTCTGTGGAGCTTTCTTGGCGTAGCCCTTCTTCACCATATCCATAAATTGCATATAATCTCTTTTGTATTTGACATCCTTGGCGAACTTCGCTTTAAGGCCACCTAACCTTGATTCAGCAAGCTTTCTGTTGGACGGTAATTCAACTTTGTCGTTTTGAAACGAAAGTGGCAACTCATAATGTCCATCGTCAGTAACGTGGATCACTTTTTTGTTATATTAAGGAACTTTCGGTCTTCTAACGAGATTGGTTTCTCTCTCTTCTTTTCCGAAAAGTCCTGTTCAAACATCTTTAACACTTCGTTTTGACGTGAAGTCAGTCACGTCATGAACATTAGACGGTGTTAGATAACAAGACGCGGACGTCAAGAGGACGTGGATGTCGTCATTTGGCGCCAACTATCGTCAGCTTCTAGTTTGCGACGTCGTCTTGGACGATTTCACCACAGAATAAAGACATACAGAAGTGTAACTTCCATTACAAAACCGTAAGGCGCTTTTACCGAAATAGCTGGCGGCCATGTTCTTAGCAAGTTCCCTAAAGAGAAGCATTCACCCCCCTGGAATATTAAATTTTCAATATGTTTTCAGGGGGGTGACTGCCTCTCTTTAGGGCACTTGCTAAGAACATGGCGGACTGAAAAAATCCCTTAAGCCTGGTTTCCATTAAATCGTAATCATCGCAATAGTCGCGGAACGCAGACATCGCTATCGCAAAAATCGCAATAAGTCTATCTTTGCGACTTTGTCGTAAGAGTCTTAGTGATCGGTGTGACTTAAGTTTCCAATAAATCGCGTTTTTTAAATCGTTGCGACGCTTGCGATGCGGTTTTTGCGATAATTACGATTTAATGGAAACCAGGCTTTACGCACTTTTAATAAGAAGATACACTTCTGTATGTCTTTATTCTGTGATTTCACGACGCGAAAATACAATTTTCACGTCCTCTCTAGAACGTCACAGATTTTTGCTTCTTTTGAAAAAAATATGAGACTATGCATAATAAAAATCATCCTATTTTGTTCCCCATGTATTGTTTAATGATACTAGCTAAAGTTTTTCCATTGACAAGATTGTTTTTTTTTTGTATTTCGCTAAATTTTAGACGAGTTGATTTTCGACAAATACTTTCGGTCGCCATAAACAAATCAACAAAACTGCAAGCATTGTTAATAACCACTTCAATACCGCTAGTAATCTTCACCAAAACAAATATTTTAGAACAAACTAAACTGAAGTTATATTAACTGTTTAAAATCAAAAAAACGTGGGAAAATAGAAAAATAAAACCACTTAAAAGCAGTAAAACTCAATCAATTTTAGTTGCTTTGTCACAACAGTGCAAAAAGTAGGACAAGCAAAAAAAAGGCTTTCCAGCGTGAAAAACTATCGTAAACAGTATTAAATTTTACCAATATAAACACTGATGCCATATTTATACTGAACAGTTGACAAACTTGATTGAATAGGCTACAATTAGCTCGTAAACAATACCTGCAGCTGTTGTATTTATTCCAAATGATGCAACAAAGTTCACTTTTCAAAATACAAAAAAATAACTTTTTTTCTAAAAAAAACTTATTGAATGTCCATACTAATTCATCAGGAAACACTTGCCCAGTATTATATAGCCTTTTCTTGCACATATCTTGACAACTGATTGAAAACAATACAGGAATGAACAGGTAACAAGAAAACAAAAATTTGCTTCGAAAAAGACAAACAAGCCGTCCCAGATTAAAACCCGGAAGTGCGCGAGGTGCATACGTCATTTTCACGTCCTCTTGACGTCCGCGTCTTGTTATCTAAAAGCGTCTATTATTAATTTAAGACATTACGTAATTATGCTGATTCACGATTTTGCTATATTTATCATTTACGTAATATCTAAAGATAGTAATTATGTAATGTTCTATTAACATCTTGCGGACAGTATATAAGCAGCGAAAGCTTAAGCTAGTTTTTAGAATTAAAAAGTTTAGAGATAGTTGTTGTTGTTGAAGAAGAAGAATTTGATATTGTGGAGTTATTGTCGTCGTAAAGACTTAAAGAAAGGAACTATATTATAAAGTGTAAAGGACAAAGTCTGAAAAGCAAAGCTGTGTCATTGTCAATAGACAGATAAGTTTAAACTATCCTGACTCTTCGTTCTTTTAGTTTTCTTTTATTAATAAATAATTTAGAAAATAAGACTCTTCTGTTTTTAAGTCTTTCTTGTTACGGTGAGCGTAACATCGTGAGTATTCAATACTTCCTTTACTTGGGTTTGCTATACAAAGGTTGAACCGGTACTCTGGGTTGTGACATCTTTGGTTATAGCATTCTAGTTCCGTCTGACTGGCATTTGCGGTGGTCAACAGGGTTTGTTACTCCAATCAAACCTCAACCGAATACAGTTCTAAAAGCATACGGGTCTTGATGTTTCCCGGGAATAACGTTATCTTTGATAAGCCTACATCTACTAACTGATCTACCGCTAATTTTCTGTGTTCTGATATCTTCTCACAGCGTGCATTGTTCCTGACTGAATCACAGTCTCGGGTCCATCGATGTCTAACTGATCGCATAGGTCGGGTTGTGTTTTGTTTGACTTAGCATATAGTGATATAGCCGGCAGTTCATGGCTAAATAGCTGGCTGTCACTTGGTGCCTGTTGTTCACCTGAACCTACGTCTTCCGTATTGATTACAATGGGCTTATCAATATTACCTTCGTTTGCGAATAATTATTCGCTGTCCTTTTCCTTCGAGATGTTCTCATGTAAGTGTTCTTCGCAGACTTTCGATCGTACTTCATCCGTCTCATGACCACCTCTGTTCATAGCCATACTATATTCTTTATATCTTCTCGTAAATCACAACATATATCGGTTTGTACGTATAAAATGTGTCATGCTCATAAATATTCACACTTGAAATATACATGTTTGTGAGTCTCGTTGTTTACTGTAAATGTTCATAAATCTGCTTTATTTCGTTTTATCATTAGATTACTTGGTTTTGGCCGAGTAAACAACGTTTATGACTCGACCTTTATCTTATTTAACAAATTTTAAAATACGAAAAGTTTGTCCTTTCATAAACGTGTTCTTTTTCTTGACATGTATTCATTCGCGCCAATAAAAGGGCAAGACAAGTTAAGGCAGTTTTCCACTAGCGAATTTGCTCGCGCGAAGCGACCTTTTTCCTTTGTCGGAATCACTTATTACGTCAGCAAGACGTGGCAAAATGGATGGCCACAAAAATTGCTAGTGGAAAACCGGCTTTACGAACGATTTCGACCTGTACGCGCGCGCGTATGCCCACGCAACACGAGCACTTACACTCCCATAGCTATGAGTCAACTATCTAGATTTCCTATATCTATGCCTTAACACTAATCCCATCATTTTATTCTAATTAATTGACACTTTAACACTGGCTTTATCATTTGATAATTCCAAGCCGACCAATCTGCAATTGCAACTGTTTTGTCGCAAATATATGAAGAACGTATTATTAATGTTTACGAGTTTTTCTTCTATTATAAATCCATTAATTTTAAGCATTTACCATTTTAACGTTGATCTTATCATTTTTATTCCTAGTTACAAATTTACATCTACCTCCCTGTTACAGCGTGCTCTTGCGAATAGTGATAAACATTTAAAATTATAATATTAAATTATGGTAGCGTCTTGACATTCTGATCAACAACAACAAACAACGACAACCAACAGCAATAATCAGCAACAACAACAATCTAAAACATCAACTAGCAATTCTTAGAGAAAAGGCAAAGGAAATCACTGCCGTGTCGGTAGTTTTATATGTGATAAACAATCATGTTCATTTATATAAAAGTTAGCTTTGATTTTCGCGGCCTAGACAACGCTTATTTTTAAAATTACTTCGTCAATGAATTATTTAGATGGTACGTTGTTTTTTAAACCATTTATAATCTCCTCGTGTTTTAAAAAGTACATAAGACTCACATCATTAGATCATTGGATCAGCCACGTTAATTTAATATCATTTTATAATAATTCTTATTATTTTTCGCACTTTCACACATTTACCTTCCTTTTATAGTAACGACAACGACAACGAGTTAAATTCTTATTCTAAAAAAAATAGGACTGGTTACAATGTTGCAACTTGGAGATAGTATGAATTAGTAGTTAAACACATGATGCCAACAGCATTTTTAAAGAAAGGGAATAAGTTTTTGAAGACGATCAATTTGAGTTGGTTAAAAACTCACGAGTATTCACTTGAAAGTACCTTAATTTTAAAAATGGTGAAGAATGGCCTTACAAATTTATTCACATGCAGCTCCGTTATCGGGTATTTTGTATTTCCCAAGTTATCGGGTATTTTGTATTTTTGTGTTATGACGTCACTAGTTGCACTTAAGATGGCTAATATCTGAGAAGCGATTCAAGGAAATTAACTGAAATTTGGTTCAGTTAGTAAGTGCACCTAAGCTGATATTTTGGAACGTCTATGTAGTTGTCATATCAACACACTAGTTACCGGTCTCTCTCTTCTTGTTTTGGTACATCCTCGTTTCCTCGGGCCGCTGTGTCAAGCAAGATATTGAACAGTTCAGGTGCCGTACACTTTATTTTAACTGATATTTAAATAGTATACTATTGTTGTCAAATTGCATTGGTCCTAAAGCCCGTGAAGAAACGAAGTATTTGTGTTGACATATGTTGATAGAATAATTTTTCCTAGAGAAAACTGCTCAACTTCTGCGAAACAGCAGTTCTCTGAGAAGCCAATCAGACCTCTCGCTTTAGTCGTCTAACCCAGAGCCTAATTTTCAAAGAGTGACTGAGTGAAAATGGATCTGGGGACGAGAATGATTTTGTTAATAATGTCTACCGTAATAATGTCTACCGTCTACAAGAAAATTTGTATTCAATTTGTAGTTTCTATTCATCACAGCACCTATGAAAACGATAATGATAAATGAAAATCACGAAAATTCCTTTCTTTTCTTGTTGCACGGGACTGGAAGCAAAGAATTGGACTAACAGGACAAAGAGACCTGGAAAATGACGTGTTGCTATGACAACCACATAAACGTACCAAAATAGTTAGCTTAGCTGCACTTACCAACTGTACCAAATTTAATTTAATTTCGTTAAATCACTTCTCAGATATGTAGACTTTCTTCTATTTTTCTGCGATCTTAAGCCCGATGAATGACATCATAATACAAAAGTACAAAATACCAGATAACTTGGGAAAAAGATGAGTGGTGAATAAATTGTTATGGCCTTTTTTGGTCATTTTCAAGGTATTTTCAAGTGATGCATAAAATTATGGACATTTTCATGTCATGTGCACTTTCACTATTAATAATAATGCAAATAAAAATTACACAGAACCAAATTGATCGTCATACATTACATGTATTAGTAATTGCAACTATCTGGAAATAAACTTAAATGAACGTGTCTGTGCGCTTACCGCTCTGCTTACCGCGTATTAGGTTTTGTCCCTAAATCACAGTTTAATTTTGGTACTGTATTTTAATAAAACTGTCACTACTCTTCGCCAATATACAGAATTGATGAATATTCCTGTATATTACTAACGTGGTTATCCGAAAATTACCTAAAATATATTTGTGCCGTTAATATTTACCTTAAAGAAATTTGTATGTATAGATTCCTGGATCTGCGCCTTGCACTATAAAAGAAAAGCAAATCTTTATCTATTAGAAGAAAACAAGGCATATTGCGCAAAAAACGGCTCAACAGATTAATTAATTAAATAAACAATAAATAAGAGATGCGTGCAGATAAAAAACTCAAAAAAGTTGTAGAAAAGGTGTTAAAAGCATTTTTGAAAGCAAGACGTATTACCAAATAACGAATTGTCACGCGAGCGATACTTGCTGGAAGATGGGGACCGTGGAAGAACTTTTTTACTGTAGTTACACATCTGTTCTTAATCTGTTATTCCGTGGAACAAGTGGGAATTTCGTTCTCGACCAATCAACGCATTTGTTGACAATTTCGCTCTAAGCCAATCAGAATGCGTAATTAGTTATTGTAAGTAGTTTCCCTGCGAGCACAGAGAGCCCACTTTCGGTAAAAACTTACATTTAAGAAGAAAATATAGGGTCTTAAATACAGCTTCGAGGGGGACAGGATTTTTAATTTTTTTATTGGATTCAATGTAACAAGGTAAAATAAGAAATTTTATCTATGTTGTTGGTGAATATATTATCGATTAATGCTGCAGTATGTGAAGTTATTCTTGTTGGCTTTGTTATTAGAGGAACAAAAGAGGATCGACGTAAAAAATTGTCCAGTAAGTCGACTCGCGTGAGCACAGGATTCTGATTTAAGCATATCAATGTTAAAGTTATCCATGAAATAACTGATTTTATTTTCTTTGTCAATTTTTTCTATAATTTCGTTTAATGCATTTTGAAATATTTCAATTTTGTTGTTTGGTGGTCTGTAAATTACTCCAACTATTATGTTCTTACCCGCGGATATGCTTATCTCAATAAAAACTGATTCTATTGTTTCTTCAATATTTGTATTAAGGTCTTTACGAATTTTATACTTTCGTTGTTTTGCAATATATATTCCAACCCCTCCGCCTTTTTTATTTGTTCTGGTTGTGCCAACGTAGTTATATGCATGTCGGTAGATCAAAACCGGCATCATTAGTATAATTATCATTAAGCAATGTTTCGCTTAATCCCATAATTTTAAATTCGGTGTTCAAAGAATCAAGTAGCTCTTTAATTAAAGTGATCAAACTTGTTCGTAATACTTCTTATATTCAGATGTATAAGAGAAAAATTACTTTTAATATTTATTTTTGCTTTTTTTCTAAATTCATTTGGTAAATAGTACAGTTAGAGTTCGTATTATTAATCTGAAGAGAGTTATCTAAGTTAATGTTATATTTCCGCTTAATGCTATATTATCATTTTGTTTTAAAGGGATCAAATTTCAATTGACTTAGTCTATCACATCGCTATGCGTGAACCAATTTCTGAATTTTTGACATTCTGCATGATTACTTAAATTGCTACTACAGCGAATTTTTCGACCCTCATTTTTTTAGCTTAATTAAAAGTGCTTTCCTTCCTGACCTGTTTACTACAAACAGAATTGAAATGGGTCATTTCAAACCGATTTTATAGCCTTCCAAATTGACCATTTTTGGCACTTCCTGTGCGAAATTTTGATCGGCCATGTGACGTCATAAGATGAACACGATTTCATCATGGCGTATTAAAATTATAGTAAAACCAACAAACGCGGAGACGAAGGCCGTATTTCTGGCAGTTCTAACTTAGATTATTGCACGAATTCTGAACAGCTTGAAGGAATACCCATGCATCTATTTCCCAACAAAGGAACAGATCCACAGAGTGAAAGAAAGTTAGTGAATTTTATCCGTAAACATTGACCGCGGGTTTTCGCGCATCTGCGAACCTAGTGTTTTCAGTTTGAAGATTCGTGCTATATATTATTTTCATTGACAAAACCTCGTAAAATGGAAAGAATACTGAAGGAAGAAACTGTTTATACAATTTACATGGCTAGAATTGTTCCCCTGGCTAAAGTACAACTAACAGACGCAAGGCAAATAATTCAGGTATATAGTGAAATACAAATTAATAATGTTCGCGCAAATTATGCTATATAGTTAGTCTAAAGTGTTTAACATTACTTATGTTTTAGATCATTTGTGGTTGTAAAAAAATCGCCTGTTAAGTTAGTTTCTTGTCCAGAGCATCTTGAGATATTTGAAATAAAGACAACAATTCAGCATGCCTTGACCTAGTTTCGTCAAGACGTCTGATGACATTTTGGGAGAAACGATGTCAGTCATATCAATAATACATATTGCATAGTATAAAGTAACAATAAATATAATAATACAATAGTATAATATTGTACTGTACTGGTACGCTATTATGTGAGAAATGTATTTGTGCACAAAACATGAGGGATGCAACTTAATTGGTTACTTTGAAGATTAATATCATTTCAAAATATTACAGTAAATGTGATATTGCACAGTGGCACAATTTTGACTCAATGGTTAACTGACTCAGTCACAATCTGCCTAATCCAACTAAAGTCGACCGCTTTTCTGCTCAAACGTAAGGCAGCTGTGTCTTTGTTGTTGGAAATTATTTTCTTCTGTTTTCCCATCCAAGTAAAACTAGCCATCAATAGAACCACAGTCCATAATTGCCATTTGCCAATTACACCTATCACTGTCTATTAAAAACAAAATCAAAATCATTTTGAGCATTGCGAATTATTGGGCTATGAATATGCTTGCAGTGTTTATAAACGTTATTATATTTCCTGTCACGCACAATCCAGTTTATAATAAATATTAAGTTGCACACACCAGATGTGTTCAAACATGTACAATCAGACACAATACCGAGGCGAGCACAATACAATATAAATATACATGCAATAAAAAGGATCTACTTACCACTAATTTTATAGGTATTGTACCATCACTTGATTGCTCCAACATAGTCACAGATGGTAGTTGCCTATATCTGCAGCGGCCAGGGGCGGACTGGCCGGTCGGGATCACCGGGCAAATGCCGGGTGGGCCCCTTGCTTGTAAGGCCGTTTTGAACCCCTTCAAATTGGCTTAATTTAAATGTCATTTAAATAAATGGCTAGAAGCTCCAAATCATAAGCATGAAAAGCAGGAAGCACACTTTAACCACTTTTCTCGCCCGACTAAGGGCACCTGCAATCTTTTTTCTCCCTAGGATTTTTCTTTTATATATACACAAAAAGATACTAAGGGATGGCTTTGGGCGGTGCCAAAACGCAAAACGGGATAAGTGCTAGTGGGCGTTTTCAGCTGCGGAGAAACGTGATTAACTCGAAGATATTCTCGCGTCAGTGCGCAAATTTGCAATTTAAAGCAATATAAAGTTAGTTATATACCGAACAAATTGATGGGGCGACACTACATGTTAGTATCTTATAGTTATAGGGCCCGCGGCCCGCGCAATCCTCTGCCTAAAATTTAGCTTTGAAATCTTGGCAACTGTGTAAGTTACTTTTGTAAAACAATGACATTTTTGCAGATCAATGACTAATGATAAAGGTATACTAAAAATTAAAATAGGATAAGGTAATTTAATAATGTGTGGGACGGGGGGTCAGGGCCCCCATCAAGCCAAATCGCCCGGGGCACCTTGAGGTAGCCCGTCCGCCCCTGGGAGCGGCGTTATGTAATGTCTCCACCACTTCGTCTAGTGAAGCTGTTTAAAAGCTGTTTGGTTCATCATCGTATTTCAAAGCCGACTTAGCCGAGTCCATACTCTTTGACTTCCAGATGTATAACCGTCATTCCGCCGTCAAATAAACAATAAGATATAGCACATGTTCTTCGATTTTTAAAAATCAGTTATCTGCGCCGTAACAAGTGAAATAGATAAAAATTCCACTGCAATATGTTGACGCGCCATATAATTTACTACAAATACGGCCTTCATATCTTCGTTTCCCTACATCTTACGACGTGAAACGGTATCAATATGGTGGCGGAAAAGTTCGCACGCGATAACCAACTTCAGAGGTTAAATTTGGCAACTTCTAACATCGCACGATGGTCAAATATATATGAAAATGCTTCTAAATTAAAAGACTGAATTTTTATTTAAGCTTAAAAAACTAGGTCCAAAAATTCACTGCAGTAGCACTTTAAGGAAAATTCCTGAGAAAATTCATTGTCGGATAAAGATATAAAAGGCATGGGATCAATATCATTAATTAATAATTGTACTAATTGTAGTCTTTGTAGACGTTGTTAAAAACCAAGTCCAAGTGCATGAAATACAACTCTTGATATATCTGTTCATCATAGTTTAAATTCCTTGCCATCAATAAATAATCTGTCACGAACCAGCGTCGCTTTCTTCTTATTCCTCCTTGTACACAGGGTACATTTTTTTCCTTGTAGCATTAATCTTCTCTGGATACTATTCCGAAACTCCGATATTACTTCCCGAGAGTTTTTTTGCATTAAATCTAATCTGCTACTTGTCATGATGCCAGTTAAATTTAACCACGATAGGTCGAGGTATTCTATCTCTCCTTGCTCTTCCTATTCTGTGCGAGGTCATAGCTGCGTCCTTGAATCCCATCTTTTCTTCCAACAATCCGTGGACTTTTTCGGTGGTATTTTCTCTTTCTGTTTCTTCAATGTTACAAAATATAAGATTGTCACGCAATGACCTTGCTTTGAGGTCAATAACGCTATTGCCATTTAATGCGGTATTTTCTTGCTCCAATTTTTCTATTTTTGCGCGGATTTCTTCGCCTTTTATCTTCTGAACTTTGTTGTCTTCCTTTAGTCGACTACTTGAGCGTGTGCGAAGTCAATCGAGTTTCTTAAATCAATCATTAAAATATCCTCTACTTTCTTTATACGCTCTTCGATTACCTCCAGCCTATTGAGCTTGTTCATCACGACTTTCATCATATCGTGTAACTCATCTACCTTCGCTTCCATTGAATTACTTTTCCTCCTGACTTTTGCGGTGTGGTATTAAGTTTTGAAATTTTGCTTTGAACCAATTTGATGGGCGTATTATTAACTGAATTATTAAAATTTTGCGCCCTGCGCTTTAGGACATGTTGTCTATCCGTCATCATGTCAAGTAGTTCATGAAATTGTATAAATGTAGTGATTAATAATATTGTTTATTTGGGGCAATTAATGCAGCGTATCGTGTTTTTATGTGTGTTTATTTACCTAAACTATAATCTATGACTTAAACTTATAACCCAAAAGCTAGCTTCTGCGCATGCCTATGAAGCAAATATATTTTACCGTATATTTTCGAGCAAATTAGTGTCGGCCAAACGAGCTTTTCAGTTTCCCCTGCAGTTTAACAGCAAAAGTTTCGAAACGTTTGACTGTTACATTTTACATTAAATTTTAAGCCTATTGAAAGCCACATAACATAAAACTGTAATTCCAAATTATGAAAATCAATGATTGTTTAGTTAAAAAATGATCTCGTATTATTTTCACGTTACCATAGCGACTGCTATTATTTTAAACATGGAATGGAATACTTCATGTGGAATTTCTATCACTTCTCGCGTCTTGAAATGCAGGAGTTTCATCGACGACGTAAAAGTCTGTAGATTCCCGTTGTAAATAAACAGACCATGCATGACGTCTCAAACTCCTGTAGAATATTAATTATTCATTTCTGAATTCTTAAAAATTATGAATCTCATTGTATGAGCAGCCGTCGTCGTCACGTTGCCGTCCCATATCGTAAGGTCTCTAATATCACGGAAGCAACACGAGTTTACGTTCAGTGTTGGCGTAAAGAAAATAAAGGCGAGGGGACGGGTTGTAAGATTAATTTAAATAAATTGGCAGTGTTTATCGAATATTTGATAAATAGAACTCACATCATTTGGTCATTGGATCAGCCATGCTATTAATGTAGTATAATTTAATAATTATATTTTTCGCACTCTGACAGTTTTACCTGTTTGCCTTTTCCTTGAGATTTGCTCTTATCCTAAAATTGAAATAGTACAGGTTTCGATGGTTACAATTTGGAAACAACGTGAACGAGTATCGGCTCTTTAAAGACTATCAATTTCATGCTGTTCTTTAAAAAAACTCTCGGTGTTTTTCTAAATTGTACACGAACCATATACTATTAATAACTTTCTTAACAACAAAGCACATAAAAAATTACGCTTTTCGGCCACGTATAATAAATTTCTTTAAATCGAAACTTATTGTTCGCAACAAAAATATTTATTTAATTAATTATTGAAAATAAGCTTTTTATAAATCCACCAAGTTCATAATATTCGTACCAGATGCACAAGAAAAGTGAATGTCCTTGTATTTTCGTGACACAACAGATTCCAAAATCTTACTTAAAAACTTTACGAACGTTTTCGAGATATGTTTGCGATGTTACTCTGAGTGCATATCCACACCGGGCGAGCTTGAAAAATATGCCCGACCACAGTGGGATTCGAACCTACGACCTTTGGAATACTAGCCCAATGCTCTTCCAACTGAGCTACGCGGTCAAGACGGTTCGAGTAAGTGATATTTCGGAACAGTATCTAATTCCTTCAATGCCAATGTGTTCTACTAATATGAATATTTTGTGTTGGTGTTGTGTACTCAGGTGAATAATATGTTTGCGATGTTACTCTGAGTGCATATCCACACCGGGCGAGCTTGAAAAATATGCCCGGCCGCAGTGGGATTCGAACCTACGACCTTTGGAATACTAGCCCAATGCTGTTCCAACTGAGCTACGCGGTCAAGACTCGAACCGTCTTGACCGCGTAGCTCAGTTGGAACAGCATTGGGCTAGTATTCCAAAGGTCGTAGGTTCGAATCCCACTGTGGCCGGGCATATTTTTCAAGCTCGCCCGGTGTGGATATGCACTCAGAGTAACATCGCAAACATATTATTCACCTGAGTACACAACACCAACACAAAATATTCATGTTTTCGAGATAGTTGCCGTTTCAATTCATGACGAAATACACAATTTTAAGAAAATTGAAGGAATTTATAGCCATGTGATGGGGACTAAATAATGGGACCAAGGGGTGCAGTAATCATGGTCAATCCGATCATCTCGCAGGGATCTGACTGTCTATACGGTCTGAAATATTTCGGCGACGCACATGTACTAGTCTAGCTAGCTTAACTGGAAGCAAAGTAATCGCTGTTTTTTACAATAAACCAGCGAGAAAGATAGGTTAGTGACAAGATAATATTACTATATCATTACTTATATTAATATATCATTAATACAATGGAAATTAGAGACATTTAATGATTTAAACGAAACATACCTTGTCATCACCAGATTGTTTCTTTTCGCACATAAACGAACGAGGTATATCACAAGAACTATCTTCCAAATAAATCGTACCATTGTTGTCACGAACAAATGCACATCTTTCTTTGCTGTCAGTGTATTGCACTTTCGCAAATATTGCAGTGTTATCCCAATTGGAGGCATTCAATGCGCTCCCATTGGCCTTGCAGCACCAGCCTTGTAACGGATCTTTTAGAAAGTGGGCACTAATTTCAATGCCTTTTATCCAGTAACGTCTCCCATCAGACAATATAGTGGAAGTTTTGTTAATAACACGAACAGAAGTTAAATTTGCAAGACGACCGCCTTGTTGCAAACAAAAGGCATAAGCCGCCTTCCATGTCATTTGGATTTTATAGAATGCTCGCCAACAAGATCCGTTAGTTGTACGATTCCAGTTATTGGGACATTTGCGTGAAATACCTGAAATTTTAGCAGACATATTCATTGGTAAAACAATTTCAATTTCAAGTAACGACAATACACGATCAATTATGCAACTTTCTTGATCTTATAAAGAAACCCTATGATTCCACAAATGTGTGTGTGCAGATGGTTTTAAAGTGCAATTTTACAACCAGGCCTCTTCTAATAATTTCTCAGTGGAAGGAATGTAAGATGATAAACATCTAAATTAAATTGTGTGCGTGACTGTATGATGATATACATCATAGAAAGTAAGATATTGTGCTGAATTGAAACCCAAGATGAGTCAATTCCTCTTAACCGAGCATGCGTATATTCAACAGAATGACGTGTACTGAATATTAATGAGGCGAGATACTCATGATATAATCGGAAGTAATAGCTTTTGCTACGTCTACGAAAATTACGGAAAAAACTAACAAATTACGATACATGAATGGAAACTTTGTGGAAAATGGCATGTCTGGAAAAGCCTATTGGAAGATCACATCTTGAAAGAAAACGGCCTATTGGAAGATCACATCTTGTAAATATTTTAGTTTTTGTCTTTGTGAAAAAGTACCGTGGGTAAATAAAGTTTGTTTGATTGATTGATTGATTGATTGATTGATTGATTGATTGATTGGTTTCGTCCCCCTCCTGCATTAGCCTCTTCGCTACGGTCAAGCATTACATAAAAAAACATTTCAAACTTACAAATAGAACTTTTTTTGTAAGTAAAGCAAAACAAAAAGCGCGTGACGTTCTTGATTCAGTCCACGACGCCATGCAAGCTGCTCAATGCGCATAGATGCCAAAACCGTGATACTGCACATATCGTGAAATGGCGAAACATACCGTGAAAATTTGAGGACGGTTCCGAAATTTTCCAAATCCCCTTGAAATTATAAAACAGAGCCGCAAAAGAAAACAAGTCTCATATATGGTTGGCAGAAACCTGTCAATCTGACAAAAGCAGCGCCGTATATGCATGGTATTATAGCAGCATTGGGATATGAAATAATTCGCAAAATCGAGAAGACTTATTTTTAACAATGAATATTTGATATGGTACCATGCAGGCCAGGTTCTGTGTCGCGTTTCTCACCTGTTTTAACACAAATAGCATGATTTTTTGCATCACAATCACCAAGTGTAGGCTTGTCGGCAGAATTGTCAACAGAAGAACATTGATCTAGTTTTGACTCCGTTATATTTGGCAGGTCTTTGAGCAACTGTGTTTTGCATGTGTGTGTTTTATAAATGCCCAACCAATACGACATATTCTGTTTCATCGTGTCTTCATTTGTGAAGTTGGAGTTCATTGCAAGTGCATCAGTGACATTATTGTCATGTTTAGTCAATCGCAGTAGATGACACGTTCCATTAGCGCTTTCCCAAGACAACTTTGGTCGATTTAGTAATGACGAATTCATATTACCTATATAAATAATGATTTGATTAATGTCCTTTACATATGAAGAAACAACAAGAAATAAATTCAATACACGCCAAATGAGAATGGTATCAGGAAAAAGTGAACCAAGTATAATTATAATTAATTTTCAATACAAACTAATTTGGTAGCTCGGGAGTACGAATTCAATCCGATCTATACGAAGAGGTAGAGTATATCTAAATAACGATAACTGACAATTACAGGCTCATTAGCTTATTTTTTGTTATTAAGCATAGGTTGCATCTTCATCTTCCACTTGCGTAAGGGGCAGCCTTCTTAAGAATGGACCAAGTGGTGTTGTAAGGTCTTCCGCTTCTCTTTAATTTCCAAATACGCTTTGATAACTCTGTTTCGTTCGCGTATCTCTGAAGCTCGAATGATTTCTTGTGGTTTCTGTACCTGTCTTTAAATTCCCCAGCTGTTACCCCAATATACCGCTTCGTTTCACCGTTGTCGTAACTTTTTACTTCGGCTTGATAAACGATAGCTTGGGTCAGACATTTTTTCTGGAGCGGGCATTCGTCTTTCTTGCGACAGTTACAGTTGATTTCTTTGGTTGCGGTGGGTTCGGTCGATCTGATTTTCGTGTTGTGGTTAGAAATGGTGGTCATCACATTCTTCATGCAGCTGTAACTAATTTTGATTGAGTTGCGGTTAAAGATTTTATGTAGACGGCTTGATTTAGGGAAATGTTTGTCGATAAGTTGAAGAAAAGTTTTAATTTACCAATGTTTGTTACTACGTTTTTGCTGTAAGGTGGGTTAAACCATACTATGTTTCGGTGTCTTTTGCGTTTAGGTTGACTGGTACAACTGTCATTGTTGGGGACGTCAATTTTACTTGATGGTGTTGCGTTGTATTGTAAATTACAATCATAGTTACTACGACGTAATGCATTCTCGTAGGTTGGGGCTGATGAATTGAACGTTTGCTGGTCAGAGGATACATTTGAAATACGGTGATTTATTGATTTAGGTAGTTGTTTAATTATAGCTGGTGGATGGTTCGAACGACTGTCAATGTAAATGGGTTCATTATTGGGTTTTCTATATGGTTGGTAGCATTCTTCTTTAAGGTTGAATGTGACGTCTAGAAAGTTGACAGATTGGTGGTTTACTTGGGTCGTGATCTTCAAGTTGAATTGTTCGAATAGTGTATGCAACTTTTTCCGTATCTTATCTGCAATGCGTCCGCTCTTTCCTTTGATTAAAACAAGTCCGTCATCGCGATTTAAACCAACACGTTCTTTCCCAAACTCATTGGTGAGGACATTTAGCATATATATAAACCGACAAGGTCGAATATTTCAGCGCCGTCATAACTGCTCATCGTTTAGAGATTTAGAGTTTTGTTTAATCCATGTCGGTTTGCCATTGTTTCAATACGGTTATCGATTGAAAGTTCTACAGCAATGTCCCTAAGTTCTCCGTTTACGTTATTTAACATGTCTGTTTCACAGAGTTTGTAAGATTTCGTAATGTTATCTTTCAATATCTTATCGTATTGACCTGGCGTAGTTTCGTAAAGGTTTCGTGTTTTATCAAATATAAATACATGTTAGATGAAGAATTTACCTTCTTTAGATCGTCGTCAATTTTTGTAAGGAATGGGTCATTCACTTCTTGAAACCTTAACCTTTCGACCATAAGGACGAGATCTTCTTCAAACCCTTTCATTTCTTTGCGAAAAGGTGGCGAATTTTTCGATTTTTGGTACATCATAATCTACCACCCTGAACTTTGTTCTTTAAATTCAAGAAGTGAACTTTTGTCAAAATGCAGACATAGAAACAAATTTCTCTTAAGCAATATACATTACTTAATATAATCTGTATATATATGTAATCTATATGTAATTTAATACTTGAACATTCCGTTTACGTCAAACATGTATATAGTATATATAACCTTGGCAACAACATAGCGCGACATTTAAATTCACCTGATGAGTGTGGCAAGCATTGCATGTCATACGAAACAAGTTTGTAGTGAATAAATCTTATGAAGTAAACCAGGTTTATTTCATCTTTATCTTTAAAAGCTCTATACTTCGGTATATCGAGCACTCTACTCATATATGATTCTAAATACATATTTGGAGCACTCTACTCATATATGATTCTAAATATATATATATATATATATATATAATATATATATATATATATATATATATATATATATATATATATATATATATATATATATATATATATATATATATATATATATATGACTACAGAAAAACCTACAGTATTTATGTACAAGTGGATGAAAGCTTTAAACTAATCCTATTTACAAAGCACGCAAAGCAATTATTTTGTTACTAGATAAAATTGACAGGACGCGCAAGTCTTAACAACGAATAGCATAACACCAAGCTATTAAGATTGCAAGGTATATTTAAAACAAAATGTGTCTGTCTCAAGTGCATGCACTTTAAATGTTAGCTAAAAGAAATTAAGACACTAATTCATTACGTTTGTTCAAAGTAGCCAATCCAGGTTTACATATAAAGAAGTATTTTTCCCACAGACATATATTATATATTAAATGGACTGAAAAAAGGAAGGTAAAATTGTAATCGATCTCAAATTAACTTACACTGTCGATCCCTTTCACACAAGTAAGATAAATTTTCTGAACAATTTGAAGTGAGGTAAATCGTTCCATTTCTCCAAAAACCACAACCACCACAACCAACGTCAGTAATTATTATTTTACATTTATCCCATTCTTCGAATAAGCTATCATTCGTCCATCTCCAAAAAGCACGTGTGTCAATATTAGTTTGGTATATCTTTCCTGTCCAAAAATAAGAAGTTCCAAATGTCCCACTGATATTACATAGTGAAGCATTCGAAAAAAATCCTGCATCATGTCTCCGACTTAGACTCTTGCAATGGGCAAATGCACCAAACCAGGTCATTCTGACGTGCACTGGTCGAAAACATTGGCCGCCGTTCTTTTTCCTGCAATTATCTTTACATTTCCCTGATAAAGCAATGGAGTATAGAAACAAATAAAAAAGCACATGGATGTAAAGCAGAAATGGTCGAAGTATAAGCAAAATTAATATTTCACAAGGTAAGCAATTCAGGCAAACAAAATGGAAAATAAAACAATGCATGCAGTCGATTATAATTATACTGTTTCAAATTTCATGTTTGAGGTGTGTAGTCTTGAGATGTGCAGATAATACGGTGCACCGAAATCGCAGGGTGCATGTATGTTCGATTCTGGCTGGAGGGCTTATAGTTGCATTTTTCGCAGCTTCTCCTAGTTAAGTATAAAATTTTTAATATAATAAGTATTTTGGAACTAAGTTCGATGGAAGTCGATAAGTTTTATCATGATTTATACAAAAATTTAGTTTTTGCAAAATTTAGTTTTCAAGTTTTTTTAAAAAGTAAGTTTTAAAAGAGTTTTAAAAAGCAATAGATTAGATTTAAAAAAAAGTTAAAACAGTTAAAAAAATTTAAAAAGTTAAAAAAGTCAGGGTTAGGGGTTAGTGGTTAGGGTTGGGGTTAGTGTTAGTGTTAGTTGCCGCGAATTTATTATTATGACTAGAAGTTACTATCGCAAGGAAAGTGCTGCCTCAACCCGTCTTCCATCACACAAGTACGTAAGGCACTCCTAAGACACCTGTTCAGGAAGTTGGAAAAGTGCAATTTGAATACGAAAACACTTTGCACAAAGTCGAAGGTCAGCTAGATATTCTAATCATAAAGATTATAAATAACACTAGAAGAGGCATTGAGGTTAAAAATTTGGGAACACGTCTATTGGGGGGGGGGCAAATGTAGGTCCCGGATATAAAATCATGCTCTCACGAATGGGAACACAAGTATACATGCAAGAATTTGCGCCCAATAGCAGGATTCCTTTGTTGCCTAATGTCAAGATTGCGATGCCTCCTCTAGTGTTATTTATAATCTCTATGATTCTATTAAATCCTATTGACTTCCACAAATTCCTTACTCTTCAAGAAATTACTTCCTTGAAAATTCCTTCGTTCTAAAAAAAAGGAAGGACTTTGTAAAAATCTACAGGTCATGATATGCACATTTTTAATGATTTGCATTATTCACATAGATGCAGGTTTATTGGCATAGCATGACCAGTTGTCATGGCTAGCTTGCCACTGAATACTGTACAATATCATGCATAACAAACAATAATAATACTCGAATGAATCATAATTCAATCATTAGATATGTGGAATTTAATTACAATTTCATACATAGAAAAACTTTTCAACAAGTTTACAAGCGAGATCTCACCTTGGTATGAAAATAATATGAAAAGTTACATTGCGTTCGTATGAGACAACAACTTTTTCCGTGTACCGAGATCTCGCTTGTTGAGAGGCGAGATCTCGGTGACCGGGATAATGGTTTTCCCATATGAACACAACTTTCCCGCTTAGCGGGATAACTTTCTGTTGTGTCAGCAACTTTTCAATTCAATTAATATTCAGTGCTAAGTCACAGCCGGAAACTTTACCCGGTAAGCAGGTTGTTAGCCAGGTGGCCGTCCGACCGTCCTATGGATGGCCACTTCTGAATTTGGACGGCTAAATTTTAATGGACGGCAATGGACGGCCTAAGGGAATATTTTCTTTAAATAGCAACCTACAAGCTTTGTAATATTTCTTGAATACTTCGCGCCATATTTTTGTAAAACGCGCCTTGTTTTTGTAACCATTTTGATGATTCTTGCATGAAGTATCAAGAAGAATAATGTGAAACCGCTGTTTTAAAAAACAGCAATCACTTTATCGCTCGAGCGCCACGTTACAGTTACAGTAATGATCATACCATACATGTGCTTTTACTAATTTAATGACGGAAATGTGCCAAAAACATGTGACCACGCCCACAAAAATATGTTGCCACGCCCACAAAATTATTTTGGACAGCCACTTTTGAAATCCTGGCTAACACCCTGCCGGTAAGCGAGGTAAAGTTTCTCCATG